TCCACACTCGGCCAGGGACCCCCATTCACGCCCTCCACACTCGGCCAGGGACCCCCATTCACGCCCTCCACACTCGGCCAGGGACCCCCATTCACACCTTCCACACTTGGCCAGGGTCCCCATGCCCAGACCCTGGCACTGGGCCCAGTTGACTCAGGGTTGAAGAAGGGGCTGAGAGGCTGCCCAAGAAACTCTAAGAGGGTTTGTTGTGGTCCTTGGACAGAGGAGCCTGGTGACTGGGCACTGACCAGAGCTGCCACTGTCTCCCAGCAGGCCACAGTCATCTGTGCTGAGACTGCCTGAGAGCCCAGCACCTTTTACAAGGAAGCCCCAGTCCAGGTCTGTCACCAGGGCGGGCACGTGATGTGCTGTCAGTACCCAGTGGACTACCCCCAGGAGGACAGGGATGGGCCCTGGAAGCTGCCCAGTGTGGTGGACACCATGTCCCTGCTACAGTGGGGAGGGGAGGACCACAGAGCAGGTCACCCAGCAAAACCAGGGCAGCCGGAGCCAGCTTGCTCTGGTCCTCTCTGGCCCTTGGGCACCGTGAAGGGCATCACTAGGGGTTGAGTGTGGAACCAGAGGCACCAGGAGGTAAATGCTTGTGCTGGTTGGCAGTGCCATTCTGTCTCTGTGGGGTGGCCATGCCATGTGGTAGGAAGGGGCAGCCTGGCCGCTGATTGGCCACGGAGGTTTCTTGCCCGTGGTTCTTGGGGACGGCAGTGCTGCGTGTCCTTGGCCTGAGCTCACATCTCCTGTGGTGATCTGCCTGAGGTCCTTGTGGCTGACCCTGAGGGCCCCAGGAGGCCCAAGCTGCCAGCCCTCAAAGCATCCTGGCCATCTGGCAGGGACGACACCAACCTCTCAACATACTCAAACGTGGTTCGTCCCATCCTGAGCCCAGATTCTTGGGGAGTGGACCCCACTGGGCCGTGGACTGAGTAACCCATTGGAACCAGAGGGCCCAGCAGACACTGACCGTGCGGCCCTGGACAGGCCATGGAGGACACACAATCCCTGCTCTAGAGCAGCGTGGGATCAGCCAGTCTTCACTCAGAACTGCCCCCAATGCCCAGGAAGCCTGCCCACCCAGCCGCTGTCACCCGTAGTGCATCCTGCCCAGAAAGGCAGGGAGAACACTCGTCCAGCAGGTCTGGGACCAACATCTGTATCTGGGTGCCAGGTCAAGGCCAGGGACCTGGAAGCTAAGAGTACAACCACAGCAGATAGAGGCCAGCTGCGGGGTCAGGTCAGGGCTGCAGTGCCCCAACTGGTCTCAAATTGCATAAGCCCTTGCCCTGCTCCTGCAGACTTTGTGTCCTGCCCTTCAGTCACCCCACCCCCTGCTCCATGAGATGACAGCTGGAGATTTGTCAGGGAGCACACAGCAAGCTAGTGCTGTTACCAGTCCATCCACAGCGGGCATCACCAATCCACCGCCGCACCTGTCTGTCCGTGGCAGGCATCACCAATCCACCGCCGCACCTGTCTGTCCGTGGCAGGCATCACCAATCCACTACAGAAGACAACGTTCATTTTTCATAATAGTTGTTATGGGCTGTCGAGTCAACTATGACTAACAGTGATTCCATGAACAATGGCTCTGAACCTCGCCTCGTCTGAGCCAGCTTTACCATCTCTGGCAGCTGACCCTATTACCATAGTCAGTGTGTCAGTCCATCTCATCCAGGATCTGACCCTCTACCTTTCCAAGCATGAAGTCCTTCTCCAAAGACCAGTTCCTCCTGGCAACATGCCCAAGTGTGAGATGGAGCTTAAAAATTCTTGCCTCCAAGGAGCAACCTGGTTTTACCTTCTCTGGGACAGACCTGTTTGTTCTCTTGACAGTCCATGTTATGTTCAATACTCTTCTCCAGCACCACAGCTCAAAGGCATCGATTCGTCTGTCATCTTTAGTCATGTCCAGCTCTCAGATGCAGAGCAAGCAATTGAGAAGACCATGGCCTGGATCAGGACCACCTTAGTCTTTAGACTGACCTCGTTGCTCTTCAACACTCTAGAGAGGTTCCTGACGCAGACTTTCCTGATGCAGTTCGTCTTTAGATTTCCTGACTGACTTCTGGTGCCAACAGTGTTAATTGTGGATCTGAGCAAGAAGAAATTAATTGTTAACAACTTCAATCTTTTCTCCTTCTATCATGATAGTGCCAGTTGGCCCAATGGTGAGCATCTTTGGGTTCTTTTAATATTGAAGGCTACAGTCCTTGACTTTCTTCAGCAAATACTTCAAGTCCTCCTCAGTTTCAGCAACCAAAGTTGTGTCATCTGCATAACACAGGTAACTGATGAGTCTTCCTTCAGTGTTGATGCCATATTCCTCCTCATAAAGTCCAGCCTCCCAAATGACCTGTTCCGCATATAGATTGAAAAGGAATGGAGACAGGACACATCCCTGATGCACTCTTCTTGATTTTGAACTATTCAGAGTTCCCTTGCTTTGTCTAGACAACAGCTTCCTGGTGTAGGTATGGGTTTCGCATGAGCACAATTAACTCTTCTGGGATTCCCGTTTTTTTCTGTGTTAGACACAATTTGCTGTTATCCACAGTCAAATGCCTCTGCGTAGTTGATAACACAAAAATCGACACCCTTCTGGCACTCTGCTGTCACCCAAGTTCTATCTGACCTTGGCAGTGATATCCCTAATACCGCAGCCTCTTCTAAACCCAGCTTGTATTTCTGGCAGTTCTCTGTTGATGTACTGTTCCAGTCATTTTTTTATGATCTTCAGTACGATTTTGCTTGCGTGTGGTATTAGTGATACTGTTTGATAATTCCCACACTCTGTTGGACCACCTTTTTGAGGGATGGAAATAGACATTAACCTCTTCCCAGCAGTTGGACAGCTAGCTGTCCTCCAGATTTCCTGGCACAACCTGGTGGAACACATCCAGGGCTGCATCTGTTTGTTGAAATATGTCTCTTGGTATTCCATCAATTCCTGGGGCCTTATTTTTTTTTTCCAGTTCCTTCAGAGCATCCAGAACTTCCTCCTTGACTGTCACTGGCTCTGGGTCATGTGCTTCTTCCAGAAATGGCTCTGTGGCAGCCACTTCTTTTTAGCACAGTGACTCCGCATACTCCTTCCACCTTCTCTTGATGTTTCCTGGATGATTAACTGTCTTGTCCACAGCATCTTTCAATATTGCAGCTCGAGGCCTGACTTGTTTGGTGGCATCCAGCTAGTGTGGGCTCATAGCAGCCTCACGTGCCACCCAGCAGCGCGCTGGTGGAGCCTGCACTGTCCCCGCAGTCGGCTGTGCTCGAGCCCCTCGTCGAAGTCGCTGTGTCCTTCTCACGGCTGGCCGGCCTCTTCTTCAGTGATCCTCCACTCTACCAGCATGACGGCTTTCTGTCATCCTACGGAAGATGAAGTCACGCCATCCCTTCCTTTAAGGGACATTCTGGACGTATCTCTGAGACAGCTTCAGTCCTCCGTGGGGGGTCCACACTGTGCTCAGTCCTCCCCACCAGCACCGTGGTCCGAAGGTTCCTCCCACCAGCACCGTGGTCCGAAGGTTCCTCCCCACCAGCACCGTGGTCCGAAGGTTCCTCCCCACCAGCACCGTGGTCCGAAGGTTCCTCCCACCAGCACCGTGGTCCGAAGGTGTCCATTCTTTTGTCTTCCTTCTTTGTTGCTCATCTGCACACGTATATGAGGGAGTGAGGTGCGTCTTTATCATCAGAGTAACACCGCGCTCGTTAGCACCTTGGTAATTTTGTGTGTGCCAGGTTTTATGCAATCGGTGTATACTTTGCTGTACATAGTTTTTATTATGATTAGGGTGAAAATTTGTAGAGAAAACAGTTTTCCATCCAGCCATTCATGCCACTTGTTTTATAATGTTGATGGCAGAAGTCACCCTGTGACCACACCCTTCTGAACCTCGCTTCCATCATTCCTTCTGCTCTGCACTTTGCTGCCTTCTGTGCTTTTGACCTTGACCCCCCTGGTGTGATTGGTTTGTCTGCTGGTGACTGCGTGTCAGGTCACAGGAGCTTGTTCTAGGCTTGCAGGGTGGCTGGGGGCCATCGCCTCCGACTTCCACCCGGCTCTGTCAGACCTGTCGGGCTGGCGTGTTTGTGGGTTTTGGTTTTGTTTCATAACTTGATCCATTCTGTCCAGGCCCTTCTGCTCTTGTCATCTTGAGGTGGTCAGTGGTGGCAGCTGGCACCGTGTAGTCCTTCTGGTCTCAGAATTAAACAAGTTGAGGTTCATTAGTGTAATGTTTCTTCTTCCTTCTTTGTTCTAAACAGGGAGAGACCACTAGCTGCCCCTTAGATGGCCACTTCCAAGAGCCAGCTGCGACTCTGCACAGTGGGGTGTGGAACAGTGTGTCTGTGCTGGTTGACCCTGAACCTCAGAGGCTCTGGAGTCCTTCAGCGAGAGGTTTTGTGTCTGGGGCCCGTGTCACGCTGGTTGACCCTGAACCTCAGAGTCCTTCACCGATGTGTTTTTCAGCCGATTTCCCCAATGCAACGTCATTTGGTTTCTTTTTTAACATTTTTATTCATTCATTGTTGCACATTTTGTCCCCGCCCCCCTCCACCCGCTCCCCCAGCAAATCCTCTCTGCAGAGCACCCACGTTTGTGATTGCTGTCACACCTGTGCCACCTGATCGATCATACATCCCTGTCAGACTTCCTCCTCTCGTCTGTCCAATGCAGCGTTCATTGTTTGTCCTTTTGTGACAGGGATACTTCACATAGCATATATGTCCTCCAGGGTCACCCATGTTGTGCGGGGTGTGTATGTGTGTGTGTGTGTGTGGGCACGCGCGCACACACTCGCAGTCAAATCAGATGCAACTGGCACAGGAGGAGTTTGCCCCTCCTTCTCTGGTGGATTCGAACTGCATGTATTCGGGATTGCAGCACACCTTCTTGTAACTGAGCCACCAGCACTCCCTTGGTGTGTAATGTTTTATGAGTTTCTTATTTTTTCAGTGCTGCATGGTATCCCATTGTATGAACGTATCATAGTTTTCCTATCCATTCATTTGTTGATGGGCATTTGGGTTTTTTCCATCTCTTTGCTATTATAAATAATTCAGCAGCAAACACGGGTTTATTACATCTGTTTGAGTCAAAGCTCTGGTTTCTTTAGGGTATATTTCCAGGAGTGCTATTGCTGAGTAAATGATATGTCTATTTCCAACTCTTGAGAAAACGCCATGCCTTCCATAGTGTTTGCACCATTTCACACTCCCACCAGCAGTGAATAAGCCTCCCAATCTCTCCACAGCCTCACCAGCATCTGTTGTTTGCTGCCCTGGTGACCTTTGCTGTTGTTGCTGGGCTGCGATGTCTCACAGTAGGTTTTCTTTCTTGACAGCTGCTTCCATGGCGCTCATTGTGGTTTCAAGTGAAGCGGCATGCTAGCTAACGTCTGTCTTCTCTCTGCCTGTCATGCTGTTTATTGGTCCAGTTGTGAGTTTCGTCTGTTTGTTGTGTTGTGATTGTACTGGCTGCAGTCAGTAACTTCATCACTAAGTCCGTCAGGTTCTCTCCAGTGTCTGTACACAACGTGTCTGCACCAAGTTGTTGCTGTTATGTGCTGTCCCGTGTCTGACGCTGCAGCCGGTGGTCCGAGGCTCCCTGTTTAACCATATTAATAAAGCACTAATGAACAATTATGTCACTCCGAGGACAAAATGACCCACGTCCTGGGGGGAGACGCCTCGTCTCACCTTCTCTTACATACATGTGGAAGCTGAGCAATGAAGGCAGGGAGGATACTGCCCATCTTTCTCCAACAGAGCAGTTGGTGATACAAACGTCTGCCTGTGAATTGACAGCACTAGGCCGCCAGAGCTCCCTGGTTTGACGAGTTCTTCACAAATCTTGAAGGCACATTCTTCTTCAAATAATCTGACTTCTTCCATGATTTGCTCAGCATACAGAATGAATACATTTGGTGGAAGGGTCCATTCCGATGCACACCTTCCTTGGTTTTAAATCATGCTGTATTTCGTCCATCCGTTCCGAGGACTGCTTCTTAATCCATGGACAGCTGCGTTACGAGTACAGCTAGGGAATTCCCGTTCTCATAGCTTCATGACTTGCTGTCCGCATCGTCGAATGTCCTCGCCTCAAGGGGCAGGTGGGCGTCTCCCTGCAGCTTGCTGTGAAAGATCCATCCGCAGGGACACCTTCGTTCCATGGCCTCTGAATCGCTTTGAATTCCTGGCAGTTCTTTTTTGATGCACTGCTCTGGTCGTTTTTAAAATACTCGTCAGCAGGGTTTTACTTGCATTTGATATTAACATGCAATGCTTTCCTCCTCTGGACCCCTTGTTTGGAATGGGTGGGGATTCCTTCAGGCAGGTGGCCCCGTGCCTGTCTTCCAGGCCTGCATCCGGTTGTGAGAACATCTCACCCGGTGTTCATTGATTCCTGGAGGCCGTTTTCACCACTGCCTTCAGCGCAGCTCGGATCCTTCCAGTACCTCTGGGTCTTGACCACATGCTCCTTCTCTTGTCTTGGTGCAGTGACTCCATTTATTCCATCTTCTTTCGATGCGTCCTGTATCATTTAAGATTTTGCTTCCAGATTCCATCTGAATGTTGTAACTCAAGGGTGAATTTGTTCTTCGGTTCTTCCCGTTCACTCTCCTTGTCCTCACAAATCTCACTGGCCTCCCATGTGGCTGTCATCAGCAGAGCAGCAGCCTCTGGAGATGTCCACGTCCAGGCCCCAGAACCAGAGATGCTCTCACCGTATTTGGATGGCAAAGGGACGTGGCAGGTGGGAGGAGTTAAGACTCGGAGTCGGGGTGGGCTGCCAGACGATCACATGAGGTGCCTCATGAGTGGGAGACCGAGAGTCAGAGAAACAAGACGCACTGCAGCCTTGGGCGGAGGGGCCACGAGCCGAGGGAAGCTGGCCGCCCCCGAGCTACTGTCCAGCTGGCTGCTGTGACCCTCGGCGCCCTGAGGTCCCGGACTGCACCATGCAAGTCACATGGTCTCACCAGCTGCCTTTTTGAGGTCTCCTGCACTTTCTTCCTGGCCTCGGTCTGGAAGTTCTGCTAAAACTGCCCAGCATCGCATCAGCCCGCAAGCCTCCACAGCAGTGTGTGGGGCAGGGCACCGGGCAGGAATCGGACCTGGGTCTCCTGCATGGGCTTCCACTGCTGGTTCTTGTCGCGTGCAGCACCCTGGACACTGAAAGAGGCAGGAGTGGCCCTGGATGCAGCTGGGTTATGACCACAAGCTGTGCACATTGGTCTCTTCACGCAGCTGCGAGTGAGAGCTGACTCACAGCTGACCCTTCGGGACGATCCCCGCAGCTGCGAGCCGCTCGGAAGGAGGCAGCCCCACTCTTTCTTTGGTTCTGCTGCTGGATTTGAACCCCCAGAGAGGCCGCCTTGGGGTTAACAGTGCAGCTCCCTGTGCTCTGTGGGCATCAGCTTGTGTTTAAGTCAGCGAGGTTGTGGTCCTCTGTTACAGGAGCCCCAGGGAGCCGAGACGATGGGCACCCGTGGGCACAGCAGACGCACACGCCTTGTGTGTGTCCTGCACACGGCATGCTCCACTGTCCATGGACCTTGTGTAACACAAGTGGCAGCCAGGTCACTGGGGCAGGTGGCAGCACCTCTGAGTGATGACCCAGGGCCCGAGGCCCTTCTCTCTGCAGAGCCCAGGCCCGGCCAGTGTGTCTGGGGGCACACACACACAGCACATATGTGCACGCCTGGGGTCCCAGCCTGTGTGTGGGTACACACACACAACACACGTGTGTACATGTCTGGAGTCGCAGCTGGTGTGTCTAGGGGCACACACACACAGCACATATGTGCACGCCTGGGGTCCCAGCCTGTGTGTGGGTACACACACACAACACACGTGTGTACATGTCTGGAGTCGCAGCTGGTGTGTCTAGGGGCACACACACACAGCACACATGTGCACACCCGGGGTCCCGGTCTGTGTGTCTGGGGTCGCACACACACAGCACACGTGTGCACGCCCGGGTCCTGACCGGCCCCTGAGGACCCCTCTCCCACAGAGGGAGCGAGAGAACGGCTCAAACCTGGCCTTCATGTTCCGCTTGCCGTTCGCCGCAGGCCGCGTCTTCAGCATCAGTATGTTGGACACGCTGCTCTATCAGGTCAGCCGGCTGAGCCCCAACTCCCGTCCCCCCTCAGAGCGGCCCTGGGTCCCAGCAGCGGGGCAGTGAGAGGGTGGACCTACGAGCAGCTGGGGTCTTCTTCCCGTGAAGAAGCTCACCCGGATCCTGCTCCCATGGCCTTCTGGGTTCTGGGCTCCTAATGGCAAGGTTGGCGGTTTGAGTCCAGGTAGTCTGCTTCCGTGACAGCTGGCGGCCCCAGAGCCTGCTGGGCAGCTCCGCTCTGACCTCTGGGTTACAGGACTGGAATGCACTGGTCAGCGGGGGTGGGTTTGGTGAGCTTGTGCCCAGTGGCACCTGGATGCCAGATAGGTGTCTGTGGAGCTGTCCCAGCTGGACTCAGACTGGACCAGCGAGGCCCTTGCCCGAGTGCAGGCTGTCCAGGGAAGGGGCCAGACATCCCTGTGACCTGTGACCTGTGACCCCGCCAGTCCTTCGTCAAGGACTACATGATCAGCATCACACGTCTGCTCCTGGGCCTGGACACCACGCCAGGGTCCGGTTACCTGTGTGCCGTGAGTGCCCGGGGTGGGCGCCGGCCGCTGGGGAGGGCAACACCGTGGCTTGTGCAGCTCATGGCACCCCCGCCCCCCAGATGAAGATCTCGGAGGAGGACCTCTGGATCCGCACCTACGGCCGCCTCTTCCAGAAGCTGTGCTCCTCCAGCGCCGAGATCCCCATTGGCATCTACCGCACGGAGTGCCACGTGTTTGCCCCCTCAGAGGTGCGGCCTGAGTCTCCCCGTCACCCCACAGCTTCCCGTAGACCCACCCCACAGCTCCCCATAGAACCCCATCACCCCACAGCTCCCCACAGACCCACCCGCACCCCACAGCTCCCCACAGACCCACCCCCACCCCACAGCTCCCCACAGACCCACCCCCACCCCACAGCTCCCCACAGACCCCACCCCACCCCCACAGCTCCTCCTAGAATCCCTGCCATCCCACAGCTCCAATTAGACCTACCACCATCCCCATAGACCTCACTGCCCCATCGCCGCCCACAGCCCCTGCTTCTCCCCATAGACCCACCACCACTCCTCAAAGACCCCCACCACCCCACCACTGCTCCAAATAGACCCTCTGCTGGCCCTCACAGCTCCCCATAGACCTCCTACCACTCCCACAGTCCCCTGCTGCTCCCCATTGGCCCCAACGGCCCTCAGCGCCCTCCTGTACCCCATAGCTCACGCCCCACAGCCTCCTTGTCATGCCACCCCACTTGTGGTCTGGGTTTAGAGCTCACTTGCCCCCTGTATTTCTCTTGGGTTTGGGGAGGGTGTGGGGAAGCCTGGGCCTGTTAGCTGGTCAGCGTGGGGAGAGGACAGTGCAGACTGCCCACATCCTGGCACTCACACGCTCCTTCTTCTTACAGCCCCACGACTTCAGGGCTCAGGTGAGTGGCCTCTCTATGCCCAGACCACCTTCAGTCTGCTCAGAGTTCAACCTCTGAACATAAACTCAGGCCAGAGACTGCCCTCCAGCCCTCCTCACTCCGGGTTCTGGGCTCACGGGAGGGTGCTGGGGGGGCCTTCCACTGTGGCTCAGAGGACACGTGATAGTGAGAACATCTGGGCAGCAGGTGACCCGGCTCAGAGGGAAGTGGGGCTGCACACCCCTTTGGTCTGGCTCATGTTCCCAGAGTGGGGGTCCCTGTGTGCTCCCAGAGTGGGGGTCCCTGCATGCTCCCAGAGTGGGGGTCCCTGTGTGCTCCCAGAGTGGGGGTCCCTGTGTGCTCCCAGAGTGGGGCTCCCTGCATGTTCCCAGGAGTGGGAGGTCTCTGCATGCTCCCGGGGATGGGGATCCCTGCGTGCTCCCAGAGTGGGGGTCCCTGCGTGCTTCAGTGCATCCCCATTTCCCTGAGTTTTTCCTGGACCTCTGAGACCCAGTGGCGCATGGGGGTGGCGTTGTCACCCCAGGCTGTAGAGGAGGAAACTGAGGCATGTGAAGGCAGGCACTGAACCTCAGCTAACAGCCCTGAGAGGTGGAAGGGTCCCCTTCGGCCACCTGGCGAGTCCTGCAGGCCAGGCGGGCCTCATGAACTTGTGTCCAGCTGAGGTGGGTGGTGAGGACGGGGGGTGTGCGTCCCAGTTCCTCATTCACCCGCCACGGCCAGTCTCAGATCTCAGTGAACATGGAAGACTGTGAAGACACACGGGAGGTGCGAGGGCCCTGGGCGGCCAAGGCCAGCGGCGGAGGCAGTATCCACGGGCGCCAGATGACCAGTGACCCGGCAGAGGCCATGCCGCTGCGACGGAAGAGCCTGCAGTGGGCACGCCGACTCAGCCGCCGGGGCCCCAAGCCAGCGAGCAGGGCGGCGGCGGCGGCCGAGTGGATGGGGCAGCAGCGGCTGAGCCTGTACCGGCGCTCCGAGCGGCAGGAGCTGTCCGAGCTGGTGAAGAACCGCATGAAGCACCTGGGGCTGCCCACCACTGGCTACGGTGAGGGTCACAGCCACTCCTGGACAGCCCGGGTCGGGAGTGGACAGAGTTCACAGCAGTGCAGTCAGGAGGGGCACCCAGGCCCCTGGACCTGCAGGCCAGGCACTGGACGGGCACCAGGATGTGCCCCAGCCCCCAGGCCTCCCTGTCCACCGCACCCTCCTCAGCTGTATGTCGTCTGCCCACCCTGCTCAGGGCAGCTCCCTCTGCGTGCCTGGTGGGGAGCACTCAGGATCCCCTAAAACTCCAGAGTAGGGCTCACCCAGGATCCAGCTTCAATGTCCCCACCTGTAAATCACAAAGGGCCGGCTAGCCCCCCAAAACGAGACTGTGGAGTGAGGCCCTGACTCCCAGAAAGATAAGGAGACAGGACAGATGGACGCTCAACCTCCTGCAGCCTGGGTGGGGAGGGGTCTGGAGATCCCACAGGGCGCGGGTCCAGCCTGCTGTCCACTGTCCACCTTTCTGTGGACTTTCATTCCAGGATGCCCCTCAGCCTCGAGGCTCTAGGACACTCTCCCCTAAACACAAGCATCTGCACTCTGTCCTGTCTGTGGCCTGGGTACAGCTGGAGAGAGCTCCTCCTGTGCACCTCACTTTCTGAAGATGCTGTCGGGGGGCCTGGCCAGGGTTCCCACTCAGCTGTCCCGCAGCCTTCGTCTTCCTCCTGCCCTGCCCCACCCCCTCAGACCTTCGTCGTCATGCGTCTCTGGGCTGTTTGATCCACATGAGGGGAGAATGACATGGCGGCGGGGGGGGCCCAGCAGCTCCTTGGGGGCCCCAGAGGGAACGCCAATAAGGAGCTTTAGAGGCCGGGGTTTGGCAGCACGGTGACATGTGGGTGTGTCCCCAGCACTCTTCACAACCTCGATCATGTGAACAGTTGTGGCTGGTGACCTCCCCACACCCCATAATTTTTGGGGTGCTGGCTGCCAAGGCCACAAGAGCGAGCATTACCAGCTCAGTGTCTAACGAGGTGCTTGTCCACTGCCGGATCGGGCCTGCACTCCTGCGGCCGCAGCCCCGCCACCCAGCTTGTCTTCCCCAGGCCTGCTGTCCCAAGCTGGACGCCTCGCGCCGCCGCCACGCCGCTTGCTGACCTCTCTCTCTCTCTCTCTGTCCATGTCTGTGCTCTGTTCTGTAGAGGACGTAGCAAATTTAACAGCCAGTGATGTCATGAATCGGGTAAACCTGGGATACCTACAAGGTAATTCTTGCCCTGGAGTCGAGGCCGACTCTGGACCCGCCTGAGGGGCACGCTGTCCGCTCCCCAGGGCCCCCGTGCCCGGCCAGCAGGCAAGCGGACAGGAGTGGTGATGAGGCCAGGGTGCAGCCAGGCTCCTGGTCACCCAGGACCAAGCTCGGCCAGTGCATGTGCACCTGGGGTGCCATCGCAGGGACCCTGCTCCCTCCTCCTCAAGGTCCGATGCTGGCCTGGCCTGAGAAGACCATGGTCTCAGCTGGGGGCCAGGTGAGGGCTGGGGCCGCTGGCTCCCAGGATGCATTGCTGTTTGAGGAGCAGTGTGTTGTCTGAGAATTGCCCTGCTGGGCCCGGTCACCCGGCCCTGGCCCTCAGATCTCGGGCAGTCGTAGAGATGTGTCCTCAACCCCTGCCTCTGCTCCCGATTCGGTGTGGTAGTTTAAGGTCTGCCTGGAGGTGCATCAGGCCCTGGGAGGGTGTCATGTGGACAGAACGAGGTGGTCACAGCAGCCGCCATCGCCAGAGGTGCTTCCTCCTCGTGCACCCCACAGTCAGCCACACCCCAGCGTGTCTGGGTGCGCGGGGCAACCTGTACCCCCTTTCCTGCAAAGAGGTTCTCTAAGCTCCAGCCTCACCTGGGGCTCTTGGTGTTCTGATGGGGTCCAGGCTTCAGTTTCCAACTCCTGGGACGCCTTCCTTTCGTCAGGTGTTGAAGGGAGCATGGAGCCTGTACCCCATGCAGAGCGATCTGGAGACCAGGGAGCCCTTCTGGGCCCCAGAGTTCATGGTCAAGGACAGATCCCTGGGACAGGTGGCCCAGGTCTGGACAGGAAGCTGCAGTCTGTGGTCCTGAGAGACCACACCCCGACAGAAGCCCCGCCCCATGGACCCTGGAGTAGTGGCTGGAGCCTGGAGGGGTCAGCAGGAAGTGTCATCAGCGCCCCTCCTGCGTTTCTGTCCGTTCTGCATCAGGACAGCCGCGGAGCTGTTCTTGCTCTGTTGTGCTCTGCCCAGCGGGGGCGCGACCCTGCACAGCCCACACCAAGCGCCGCCGGGGAGGGGGGACGGGACTCGGCATGGCCGCACATTATCTTGACCAAAATCAGTGTCACCGTGGGTGGAGAATGAGCCTGCATGCTTGAACTGTGGGCTGTGTGACCAGGGCCCAAGCTGCATGGCCCACACCCTGCTCTGCATGGCTGGGGACCTGAACGTGCAAGGGCTCACACCCAGCATGATGTGGGGGGAAGCTTCAGTAAGCCAGCACCCCCGTCCCCTCCCAATGCCCCTCCCAGCACCCACATCCCCTCCCAGTGCTCCTCCCAGCACCCACATGCCCTCCCAGCACCCACGTCCCCTCCCAAGTGCCCGTGTCCCCTCCCAGTGCCCCTCCCAGCACCTACATCCCCTCCCAGTGCCCATGTCCCCTCACAGCACCCATGTCCACCCAGCACCCGTGTCCCCCCAGCGCCTGCATCCTCCCCCAATGCCTGCATCCCCCCACTGCCCATGTCACCTCCCAGCACCTGTGTCCCCCCAGCACCAACGTCCACTCCCAGTGCTTGCGTCCCCCCAAGCTCCTGAGTCCCCCAGCTCCCGCGTCCTCCTCCAGTGCCTGTGTCCCTCCCAGCACCTGCATCCCCTCCCAGTGCCTGTGTCCTCCAGCCTCCTTCCTTCCGTGTCCACCCTGCTGAGCCCTGGCACCCTGAGGCTCACAGGAGGGATAGGGGTGCACTGACTTGGGCACTCCCTCAGTGCCCCGTGCTCCATGTTCAGGGCACGAACACAGCCCACCCCACACGCGTGACATTGTGAGACGTTCAGGGCCGTGGACACTGAAAGGACAGTGAGTCCGCACATAGTGGGGGAGAGGGAGAGCCGGCCACCTGCAGACCACGGGATGCCCATAGTCTTAGCGTGCGGCATGGCCGTGTCCACCGCCCAGGAGGAGCGGGCTCAGCCAGCACAGAGCGTGTCCACCCTCTCCACACTCCCCCGTCTGTGCTCTCGGCAGCATGTCTGCCCCAAGGGGCCTGGGGGCACCATGCCTGGCCAGCACTGTGAGGAGGGGCAGGGGGGCAGGTGTGGGCAGAGGCGCTGGGGTGCGCCTGCCCTGGAGGACGAGGCCCACACCCCTTGCTGGTGTCAGACCTGTGAGTGTCCGTCAATGCCGCTGTTCTGGGGACATGAGCCCCCATGACACACCCCATGACCCCACTCTACCTCTCAGGCCCTGTGGCTTCTGGCATCCCAGTGCCCTGAGGCCTGGCTCCGTCCAGTGTGCCCTCAGCTGGTCTCAGAAAATGCCCTGGTCAACCAGGGAGACAGGCAGGGACCCCAGGGGCCAGCCAGCAGGGGAGGGGAATGGTGGAGGACAAAGAAGGGCGAGTGAGCCGCAGCACTGGGCACACCAGGTCTGCCTGGCCGCTGAGGACACGTGTCCCTGACCCTGACTGCAGCCATCTAGCACCGGGGCCCTGTGAGCCCCTCACCCCACCAACCCCACTACCACCACGCATGGCCTGCCCCGGGAAGCACATGCTAGCCTTGGCCTGGATGGGGTTACCCGCACAGCACCCACACAGTCCCAGCTTATGGCCACAGAGTCCACAGAAGAGACAGGACATTGGCCTCAGGTTTCAGGAAAGGAGCAAAGATGCCATCGCACGGGACTGGCACTCAGGGTCTGGGGTGGGTAGAGCAGCAGGGGGTGCTGTCTCGTGCCCAGACCACAGGTGAGCCCTGAGGACGCACCACAGAGCAGGCCCCAGCCCGGAACTGCCCGGCAGCCCCCACCCCGCTTGCCCACCTCCCTGGAAGCATGCCACGTGCACGTGCCAATCTGCGCCCATTCTGAATACAGAACCAGATTTGCCTCTGAACTCGAGAGCTCAGAGGGATACCCTGCTTCACTGTTCCCCTTCTCGGGTGGCCACTGCTGTTCACTCCCAAAGGAGAGGACAGTATGGAAAAGGGGAGCAACCTGAAGCATGTACCCCAGCCATGCCTGCATCTGGGGCCTCCCAGCGTGGGGCTGTGTGTGGGGTGTCTGGGTGGCCCTGCCCCCTCTTCCTGTCTGCATATGGGCGCCTGGACCCTCAGTGAGCTGTCACATGTACCCAGACTGGTGGTGGGGGAGCAGGTGTTGAAGTCAAGGAAGTTAAGATGAACATCAGGGACACGTGTCCACCAGGGAGGGGAGGGACAGGTGTCCACAGGGAGGGCAGGGACAGGGGGACAGGTGGATGGGCAGGTGCCCATCAAGAGAGCAGGCCCTGACTGGGTGTGCTGGGGGGCTGCACCGTGCTATGGGCAGTAAAGGCATGGAGATTGCAAACTGGGGGACCTGCCTCAGGCCACACGTCTGCAGGGCCTGGTGAGGCTGGTGACCCCCCGCTGCTCTGTCTCTTTTCCAGATGAGATGAATGACCAGCAGAACACGCTGTCCTATGTCCTCATCAACCCACCACCGGACACAAGGCTGGAGCCCAACGACATTGTGTAAGTGGCCGCTGGTGGGAAATGACCAGCCCGACCAAGCACCGTGGCCAGACGCCAGGTGGCCTGCAGGTCCCCCTCTTCCCCACAGGTACCTCATCCGCTCTGACCCCCTGGCCCACGTGGCCAGCAGTACCCAGAGTCGGAAGAGCAGCTGCAGCCACAAGCTGGCGTCCTGCAATCCCGAGACTCGTGACGAGACGCAGCTGTGAGCGGTCAGCTCACTGGGGACCCTGTCCAGACGACTGGAGGTGCACGGATGCCAGTGCTGGTGACCCTGACTGCCCGCTGCTGCTCCCGGGCCTGAGCCGAGTCAGGGCCCACAGGTGGGGGCTCACTGCCCGGGCTGGTGGACACCCGGGGCGTTTTTAACCTGTTTTTACAATCTCTCCAACCCGTATCTCTACACGTACCGCAACTCGTGACCCATCCTGACCTGCGCCCCTCACACAGCCTCCGGGGGCATCTGGGAGGGACAAGGCAGGAAGCAGAGGGGGCAGAGGTCAGGCTGACCAGAGGCACTGCAGCCCAGAAGCACAGTGGGGGTCTGCATGAAGACCACCCCCACCCCCGGGTCAGAGCTCAGGAGAGGGGCGTGGGGGCAGAGCACCCACAAGACTCTGGGTCCTGGGTGCCAGTTGTGAGTCTGGTCCGTCTGCACTCACTGCCTAAGGGGATCTGGAGACATCACCCCAGGTTGCCCTGAGCCCTGTGGAAGGACGTGGGGAGAAAGCAGGCCTCACTGGGCACAGGGGCAGTCGCCCTGCTGGACTGACTCAGTGACACAGCAGAGGGCAGTAGCCCTTCGAAGCACAACCCTGCAGGCATCACCCGGCCCTGGGAGGAGTCTCACTTCCATGTGACCACGGCCTCTTTGCTACTGGTTTTATACAGTCAGTGCTAGAACCTTCTATTAAATGGATGCATTTCAACACCAGAGACGTCAGAGGTGCTGCTTGCTGTGCATGGGGGCTGACCTCTGGGAAGCAGGGCTGCCCCCCAATCCTGCTCACAGCATCCTGGGGTGGGGAGTGGGGTTGGGGATGTGGGGGTGTTGAGGGCTGGCCTGGGGGTGGAGGCTGTGGGGCGGGGGTGGCTGCCCGGGGGTGGGGCAGGAGGGACTGTGGTCTGGAACGGTCACTTCCTTTTGGGGGACTCCAGAGCGAGGGTCACACTAGGAGCTCCCCACCGCCCAAGAGGACAGTATCTTCAGGGTGGAGAGTTGTCTGTCATCAACCTGGCACGTGGCCCTGAAGCCTCCTTGGGCCTCTTTTCTGTCAGTGGTGCACAGGGCGCCATTTCTGAAGTCCTGTGTCCTCACGCTACCATCTCCACCACTGCCCACTCCCAGCCGCTCCCCGCCCCTCACCGTCCTCTCTAGCACCCCCCCCACACCACCCC